CTTTAACAACAGAGCAACATTGCATCATTTTAAAGAGTTTTATGACAACATTATTCCTAAAAAAGTTGAGGATACCAAACATTTTTAGAAGAAAAGTTTTAAAATAAATTTATACCTTTACTTTTTTTTATTTTTTTTAAAATGCCACCTTGTAGCTACGTCAAACAAAACAATTAACGACAAGACAATATTATATCATTTTAAAGAGCTATGAGGTAACATTGCTCTTAAAAAAAATTAAGGATATCAAGAGCCCTTAAAAAAAATTTTAAGATAAATTTATACTTTTATCTAAAAAATATCAATGGCTAATTGTTTTGGTGACAATACTCCATTCCTCTCCTGGATTAAAAGAGATATTGGGTTAGAACTAGCATTGGCATGTTTGTTTGTATGAACCGGTACGTGTCTCTCTTCAAAAGGCTAGATTAACAGTAAATTTTTTTAAAAATAATAATAATAAAATGAATATGTGGAGGATATTTATATTCTTCAAACGGCACATGTAACTGACAGAATCTTAAATTGTCTGTGTTGGGAAGATTATATCTGCAGAGGCAGGCAGTGCCCGAAGTCAATTTCGCAACTGCCTTTCATTTATACTTTCTCTTCCCCCTCCTTCATTCTTATTCATCATTTCATCTCTCCAATTAATGCCATGCCAACCTAGTCAACTCTCATTTCTTTCATATATTTATTTATTCATCATTTTTCTCGTTTTTCTTCTTACACTATCAATTTCAGGCCAAGAAAATAATTGATTTTATGTTACATCCCAGTTCATAAGAAAACTACTAAAGCCGACTTGTTAATTTGACATATACCCCGTTTCATCTCATTTATTTCATTATATTTGTCTTCTAAAAAAATTGTTTCATATGCTTGTCTTTTTAAATTTTCAAAATAATATTTAATAATATTTTTTATCTGGTGATATTTTTAGACGCATTAAATAAGGAACATAGTTAGTAAAGCATGTCATATTTTTACATATATTTATTCGGATTAATCTTAAAAAAATTACAATGAAATTTAGGGATAGGCATCTCAATACAAGAAAACTCTCAAATATAAATAATAAACACTGGATTTCCTCCTATTTTTACTCTCCTGACCCTATTTATAAGGCAAAGAGAGAAGATTAATTTTAATTTTATTTATAGAATATATTTCTTTATTTTCTAGGTTCATCTTTATTTTTCAGCCCATATTAAATGTTAGAGAAAATATTAAAAATAATTTTTTATTCTTATTAAGGATAGAGGTGGAATTTTATTAAATTTTAAGGCAGAGTTAATTGGGTTTAACATTTTTTTTATTTCATTAAAATATAGTGAAAGTGATTTATAAATAAAATTGTGGGAGTGACTTGAAACCGTAATTCCTATCCTCGAAGTCTTGTACATTTTACCACTGACACTTAGATAGAATAGTAACAGGGTTAATCTAACTTAACCAAAAATTTTGAGTTCAAGACCTATATATTGTTGGCGGCATCGGCGGTAAATGTGAACAACGAGCTACAAACTGCTTGAGTTGTACTCAAAAGGACACTGTCCTTAAAAACTATTCTGGCACACTGGAACGACGGACTGGCAAATCTACAGGATTAAACAAGCACTTCTTATGGAGCAAGGGAACAGAATAGCAGAAACTAAAACACAGTAAGACGAGCAAGGGAGGAGAAAATTGTCCCGAAAACTCAAGAGGATGGTGACTTGCTCTGTTTGCACCCATGGCTATATATAGCTCGAAGATGGAGACATGAACGTTTGCCCATAATCATTGGATTAAAGCTTCAGTTATACTCTCATAAATCACATTTAAACACTTGTCTGGGGGGTTACGCAAACGTAAATCACAATTAAGCCTTTGTCTGGAAATGTCAGCAGACAAAATGTTTAAGATATTAACTAACAAAATTGGCTAATTTGGAGACGTTTCGAAACAACAAAAGCAAAGGTTTTCGGGTAAGCTAAAAATAATTATTTATGTAATTATTTTTGTAAAAATAACCTAGTGCCTCTTGAACTCACGTGCAGGGGGGCGAATCGGCTAATTTCAACTGCAATTGCCCTGTGTTGGCCTGTCTCATGTGCGCGAGGCCACTTCTTCTCCAAGCTCATTTTACTAGCCTACTACATTCCTTAATATATATATAGTCCTTCATTTAATCAATGTGGGACTTTGACACACACACTTTTGACACACACACAACATATATATATACAGTAACGATTAAATATAATTCTCAATGGGAGGCATGTACATGTTCAGCTGCACTTAAGTGAAAACTGAGAAAAGAAAAAATAGGTGGAACTTAATAGTAAAAGCTCACTCTAGTTTTGAAGCAAGTGATATAATTATTTTAAAACAGCGATAACATTATGCAATAATAACAAAGGAAAACATAATATCTAGTTCTTATAATTTCATTGAGTTTTACTTTTAGTCTCTATAGTTTTTTTTTAATATTTTTAGTCTTTATAGATATTAAAACCACTAAAAAATGAAAACTATATAAACTTGAAAAACAAAGATCACTTAATCTTTTTTAAATTATAGGGACTAAAAATATTAAAAAAATTATAAAAATTAAAAGTAAAACTCAATAAAATTACAAGAATAAAAAATTGTGTGTGTTTTTTTAAATAATAAACTAATAACTGTATAATAAAGAGGTAGGTCAGAACTCAGAAATCATATTTGTTTCTGTACCTCTGAAGGTGATGCTATTGGAGTACGGATATATGGCTACGTGTGATTAATTAATTATTATTTGTAAATCCAGAAAACCCAGCGCAAGGTACTCTTTGTCTTATATATTCATAAACCCTAAACAGCCCCGTGATCGTTTCACATTTAAATTCTTTGACCAATCAGAAGAAAGTCAGTTGCTTTTCTGGTTGTGTTATACCCTTTTTGTGACTCACTAGTCTCACGTACACGTCTACACCAAAACCATACGCCATGCCCCTTACCAGCTTCAATAGTCATACCTCCAACACAACCTATCTCTCAGACTCTCAGACAATGCATGCTATATCACATCAGAACTTAGCTACCTTTCTTCCGTTTTCTTTCACTGTAAAAAGTACCGAAGGTAAATAAAAACACGTCATTCTACTTTAGATCTATAGTCGTAAGACAATTTTTACATTAAATAAGCCATATATAATTCCTACAACCTAGAGATATATATAGCGGAAGCCGGAAGACTTCAAATACCTTCCATCATTGTTAGATGATTTGTAACAGAGTTCCTCAATTCTCATGATCTAAATATAGAAACTGAAATCATAGAAGAATGTTAGAAGAAGCTAGTATGTGAGGGAATCTTCAAATTAACAGGCACAATGATGACATTGACAACTAAAGAATCGCCACCACTGGTCAGGGAATCTCAAAGAGCGAGATTAGACCAGTTTTCTCAAAATATTGTGTGCTTATAATTTGTGCCCCTATTAATTAATGAATTTAGACAGAGTAAATCCCTAAACTAAGACACCGTCAACTGATTTGCGGGACACACTAAGAATATTTAATTATTCAAATTGACATCGTGAATATTAGAATATCTAATTTGAATTGAAATAAATAGACAAGAGCAATAAAATATTTAACATTAGTAGCCATTTTGCTAATAATATTTACATGCCTTCGTTTTCTCATAATAAATGCCTGTTAACCTTTTTGCAGCACTGGGTCAGTTCATGATTAAGTTCAAATGATTTATCAAACCACAGGAAGAAAATACCTCCCTTTAGTCTTCTAATTAACAACGAGTACTGTAGCATTTGAGTCAGATATGACATACTAGCAGCGCATGGATTACACATATAATAGAGAGAGATACGAGAGAGAGAAAATGAGTGTAGAAAGAAGTAATAAAGAGTCTCACTTGTTTGTATCGCTCTTTCTAGGTATGAATGTACGAGTGAATGGTTGCTTGAATAACAATGTGATTTGATAGATTTAGCGAAAGCTTTTTGGATGTGACGAGGGTCTAGAGGAAAGCTGCAAAACTATTCACTCAACATGATGTCCAGAATATTAATAATAGATCGGTTCATCAAGTACTGTGAACCAAACCAGAAAATGCATGGCTAAAATCATGAATCAGCTTTTGCATTTCTTTGCGCCAGGGCAACCAAAAAATAAAAAAATAAAAAATAAAAAATATACAATCCTGAGTCATCTTCTGATATGCTCAGGTACAAATATTAATCTGGTCCCCTCATCAGTACTCTCAGCTTCAATGTTTCTTGTGAGAACATTGTGGCAATATCTTCACGCCTCTTCATTGATACGTCTTATTCTTAGCCATAATAAGCTTGTTTGAAAATGGATACCACTTAATGAACGACACACATCAACCATGTAGCTTGTCTGCATATTTTTAGCTTCACTAAATCTTTTGTATATCGTAATATATAAAAGCTCTTTGCTTTCTATAATTCAATTAAACTCGTAAGCTTTACTTTAAATGCTCCTGGCTTGGTTACCTTCTTTTGCATTGACGCGCTTTCTTCTTTGTCATAAAACTGCAGAGAAATATTTACTCCACTTGAAATGATAATTTAATGTAATGTACCGCACATATCAGTATCACAGCAATTATATATTAATAAAATAACCTAGGGATATTTTTATTTTTTATTTTTTGAAGTATGCAATAAATGAACATGAGCATTCTCCGATCCAGATTCATATAATATGGTTACCTCATTATCCAGGTCTGTCACATCTTGTTCCAATTTCAGATTCTTTTATGTCCCCCATCAAACCCTCACATCAGATTCCTTTTACATTCTTCATATTATCTTTATCTCTCTTATCATTCACAACCCACATGTGGCATTAGCAGCATCAAATTACTTCAATAAGTTCTACATACCCTAAACTGATCTGCTATATATGATCTTGAATTTAAGTACTTCTTTTCGATTCCATAAACATAGTTCAAATGCGTTTTAAGGAAAAATATGCTTTCATTCAAACTCAGTCTCATATTTGCAGCACCAATTCCTTGAAACCATATAAGATCGTGACTGGCAATATATAGCATCGTACAGTGTAGTACCATTCTCAAACAAACTAAACTACAAAATATCAAGACACACAACCCCATCATTATATTGTACAGGGATGGAAATAAATTTAGTTCTTTAATGGAAGGAACTCATAGAACTGGCTTGGGGTCAAGTTGGAATCCATGGCGGATACTGAAATCTCTGTCTCCTTCTGCTTAATGTTATTATTGCAGCCATCTCCTCCACTCCTCAGTGGGAAAAGTTGTAGGGTTTGGGATTCCACATGGTTGTTGAGATCATCTTCTTCCCTGAGGATCCCACGGTTGGAGTGGATAACACCATTTTGTGTGTTGTGAGGATGACAAATGAAAAAGCTCAGATCACAATGGTTCTTGGAGAGCTTTGGGTCCATTCCTGTGACTGTATCAGTAGCAATATTGCTAGTTGTAGAGGGAGCAGTGGTAGCAGCAGCTGTAGGGGGAGGACAAGATGGCTGGATCATCTGCCACGTGGCATTCCTTTCCATAAAGTTTCTTCTTTGTTGTAATTCTCCTTCATTGAATTGAACCCATCCATCTGTTCTACACTCTGCAACTGCTGCAGCTGCTGCTGCTTTTGCTGCTCTTTGTATTGAGACAGATTCCTGAAAATTTCAATTGAAGACATGCAAACAAACACATGGGAAAAACTCAGCTGTATGTATGTGAATGCTTTGAAAACCAAACTGGAAAAAAAGTTAAAGGCATTGGAAGGCACAAATTTCAATTGGGCACTCCAAGTTGCCATTCAAATAAAAGTACATAGTTGGGGGGTTTGTGAGAGAGAATTGAGAAGTCAAATTAGGGTGCTCAATTCCATATGGAATATTATAGGGGTACCCCTAGAAGCCAAAAAAAAAAAAGAGTTGAAAACGGACCTAAATGACATGAATAAGCAAAAGCACACAAAACCCTAGGCTAAGTTTTTCATAACAGCAGCCCCGACAGAAAGGAAGGAATGCAGCCTTTTTAGACCCTTTTCATTTCCCAACAAACAAAGCTTTTGCTGGGAGGGTCCTTTTTCCCTGGCTAGACCTGTGCTGTGCTGTGAGTGCATAACTTTTGTATAATATTCCTACATCAAGTCGTTGATCTCTTGTAATCATATGCAAATAATCACTGCTTAATGGGATCTTATGAACTTTTGGGGATTAAAAAGGGGTTTCATGTTGACAAAAGAGAAAGGTTTAGTTTTGGTCTCTCTATGTTTATGACCAATGGACAAGGACAAGAGAGGATAAAGAATGGACCTCTGCAAGAGTGGCACTGCAGTTTGTAGAGGGTGCCCAGTTCTTGCTGGTCTGTTCAACTTCAAACGCTGTCCTACTTGCGCCTGTAGACAAAAAGAAACAAAAAGAATACACCTTTAGATTTTCAAGCAACAATTGGCATGAAAACAAATGGAAAAAAAAAAATTCAAAAAGCGATAAATGAATACTTGATACAGATCTCAAGCAAACAAAAAATGCCACTGTGGAAGCCATGCGTGGTAAGATAAAGCATCAGAAACCTCTCTTTTCTTTCCCGCTTTCTCTTCTTTTGTGTCTTTTGAATCAATGGTCAATCACAGGCTAATTACTGTATGTGGTTTTTACCTAAGTCCTTCTTTTCTAGAGCATCAAGATCATAGGTGTGACCCTCAGCAGCTGATTCCACTTGACGGCGTCGTTTCTGCCTCTCTCTGGCTTTGTGATTCTGAAACCAATAGAACACATTCTTCCCTTCAATTTTCCCAAACCTGCGAAGCTGTGCAGTGATATGCTGAATTTGCTCTGCAGATGGCGTTCTTGTCCCTCTCCGATATAACTCTTCCAGAGCTCTCAGCTGCTCCGGGGTAGGATTCCACCTTGTGCTCACCACAACTGGTGGAGTATTGTTGAATTCTGGTCTCTTGCTTTGATCTACCACTGATGCTAATAAAAACAACAACTTTTTTACTTAACAGAAACACCAAGAGAGAAGTAAGACAAAGAATTGAAGAACATAATGATATAATGAGGAAGAAGGGTTAAAACGAGCTTACCCAGATTGTGACACTGTGTAAAGAAATCTGTAGCATGATGAGCTATAGGTGAAGCCAGTGGCCTAGGAACTAAAGGCCTGAGCTTCCTTCCATTGAATGCATGATCAGGCATGTTGAAATCACTCCCTTCATTATAACCCACCATCCACATCTTGATAGCTATAACTATTAAAAAAAAAAGCTAGGGTTTTGTTGATCAATGAAGCTGCTACAATAAAGAATAGCCACAGCCAACACTAGTTTCTGATCTTATCTTGCCTTGTTAGGGTTAGGGAGTAGAAGAAAAGGGTGGGGAGAGTTGAAAAAGATGGAGGCATGCAAGGTTTTGTATTGTGAAGTGTGATTCAAAAAATGGCAACCCCCAGTTGGATGAATGAAAAAAGTAGACAAGGCTTATATATAGCAAAAATTGATGCTAATAAAGAAAATCCCATTGTTGAAAAACGAGTCGGTTGAGCTGAAATTGTGAGGTATTTTGTGTCTCAGACATTCAGAGATGGGGATTGATCACTTTAGCATATGGGCGGAGAGAGAGAGGGGAAAGATGGAATGAAATGGTGCTGGTTTAATACGGGACAAAGTGAAACGGACTTGAGGTTGACTAGCCTTGTCAGAGAGAGGGGCAAAAGAGAAAAGCATGTAGAGAAGAGGAGAGAGAAAGGAAGCGTGGAATTCTGGGAGATTTTTGGGAGTAGGAAATGAAAAACGACGTGACGATGATGAGGCTTATCATGAGCCTCATCACATCTCTCTCTCTCATTTATTGGTCTCTTCACGTCTCGTGCCTTTCACACTAATTCTCAATCCGAACTGCCTCTCTCTCTCCCGCTCCCCGCACACACAATATTACCCTTTTCTTTGTCTCTTGTACTGTCCTTCTTTACAATCGCATTCTCCCTCCTCTGCACATCGCTTCTGTACTCTATCTTATCACCTCCCTCCCATGTTCATCTAATCTAAATATTAATGCAGACTAGCAATTGTATGAGGCTCTCATCTTAATCTTAGTACATACATATAAATCTGTTTACCCACAGCAAAAGAATCAGAATGCAACTAAATAGCAAAAGATAGCCAGGGATCTATATAGATGGCTTGCTTTTAATCTTATGGACCAGTAGAATATAAAGTATAGGGTTGTCTGGGGCTGACTGTGCATCTCAGTATTACTGTTTTGCTTTGCCTCATAGATATAACCCTTTGGTCATTATGATGGAATGACTCAATTCTCGAGCTGGTTGGGTGGTGATAGATACAGAGAGAATTGGGAAGCCATAATTGTTTAATTATATTTATGCTGTAGCTTTTTGGGTGGGAGGGCCTACTTGCTCTGTTCTGCAAATTCTGGGTTCTGATCCTACTGTTTTGTGTGTTTGTTATTTATTGTCATTTGCATGCAAAGTATTTTATGTAATGGGCGAGAACAGTAACATGCAAAACTTCATCTTACTCTATATATACTGTGCATTTCACCTCCTACCATTACTATTACTATATTATTCATCCTCATTTTCTTCTTATTTAACCCCTATATATATAGTATATGATCTCTTGTCGTTTCTTTAGGTCCCCAAACCCAGAACCATGCATATGTAAAATCTATTTCAACGTCTTTAAAATGCAGCAAATCAAAAGCCTATCACCACGGTTGAGATAAGCATGCTTTTTCTGCTGCCCCCGCAATTTGAATTTAAGGTTTGTGTTCAGTGTTTAATCCTTTTCTTTCTCGAAATGCGGTCGTAATTAAGTAGTTTATGCCATGAAATTAAAGCGAGCAATTGAATGATGGGTTTAATTGCAAAATAATCCCTCAGATATGATATATAAAGTTTTTTTTAATTTCTATTTTTATAATTATTTTTGGACGAGTATAAAGCTAGCAAGGAAACCATATTAACGGTTATGAAGATGCTTCAATTTATATTTCAATTTTTCAGGCAAAAACCATAGGGGGAAAAGTATTGCTGTTAAATGGCCTGTTTCATAAATTTGATAGAGTAAGATAAGTTTGATTACTGGTCAAAAAAAAAAAAGAAGTAAAGTTTGATTTGACGCGATAAGACCTCGTAGTTTCTAACAAAACCATAAAGAACCCAATAACTTGAGTTCACTAATAGAACGTTGAAACATTACAAAATTCATGGTATGTATCAATAATTTATATAACCATGAGTATTTGAAATTAGATTAAAATTCATCTAGATCTTATGGATAAGAAAATATGGTTAATTATAAATTAGATCTGCTAATTTTACTCCATTCAAAGTTGATTATAATGTTAGAACGAGAGCAGTCATCACTCATTCCTGGTTTTAAAAGTAAAGTGAATAAATTGATTCATGTTTTACCTCTACTTCTTTTTCCTCGCTTAAATTTAAATCAAAATTTAACAAATATGAGTTTGAATGTTTGATGTTTAAACATAGAAAACAATATCGACGGTTGAAAAAGAAGTGTAAATCATCAAAATAAATGTTTGGCATTTACGGAGACGATAAGAGAGTCGCAGAATATAGGAGGGCAGAGGGAATTATACGTTGCTATCAACACAGGACCTTGTCCAATGGTAAAACTAGTACTATTATGTCTGTGTTTGCCCAACTGCCTTTAAAATTGCTTTTAGCTCGGAAATGTCTCATAACTCAGTGGCACTAATTTTTTTTTTAAATGAAAAGTCATGGATTCAATTTTACTTGTAATTTCAAGTTGTTGATGCCTCTATCTCAAAATAAAAAAAAAAAAAGCTTTCAGCGATCATTGCTTTTGACTTAGTTTTTCGAACACACTCTTCAAGCGAGAAAAATAAAAGAATATGAACAAAAATAATATGTTTAATGTGTGTGTAAAAAAGAAATATTTATAAATAATAACTAGTATTAAAATAAGAATACTAATAATCCAATAAATAGTTGAAAGATCATTTACTGAAAGGGCAGGACTTATATATTTAGTTTTATACACTTAATGTACTTTTATCCAATTAAAGCAAGACATGTAAATTTTAATACGTTAATAATATTAATAACAAGAATTTGTTATAGATTAAATAATCTATAAGAGATATATATGTCTTAATGTAGTTGGAAACAAGTACCCTAGGGCTTGTTTGGTACAATGGAAGGGATTTTGGTAGAAATGAATCTGGATATGAAAGTGGAGATGGATATAGGATTTTAAAAATGTATTTGGTATATCCATGGAATTATGATATTATTTTTATTTAATATATATATATTTATTTATAATATTGCAAAAGACCCATAAATCACCCCAGACTTAGGTCATCGCAAAAGACCGGTAAGCTTGAATCTAGAAATCTCATTCAAGCGGACGCTATTGTCCAACCATCTAGCTTAAACCCATAAATCAAGCTTGCATCGAAGCTAACAACCAAAAAACCAGAATATCACAGCCCACCAATCAATTTACAAAACAGGCACTATAACATTTTTTTTGCTTCTAGTAATACTTCACTTTGCAAAAGTTCTGGAAGTGTTGTCTAATATGTAAATAAGCAACATTTTATAAGTGTTGCAATTGGCTATTGCTTTAAGCAATATATATTTGACAATAAATGAAAAATGTTACCTAACATAAAATAGGAAACACTTTTAAATTGTTAAATTATATTTTTCAAATAGGTAACATTAAAACTGTTGCTTATAAGATAACTTTTTTCATAACATTTAAAAATTGTCCCTTTTTTTTTAATAGGCAACAATTACAAAAAGTGTTTCCTTTAATTTTTTTTGCAATATTTAATAACCATTGTATATTATGTTTTATACTTAATAACCATTTACTTTTACAATTTTTACCATAAAGCCAACACATTTTCCTTGCATAATAATAAATAAAAAATAATCATATTATTAGACTTAACAGTTAGACTAGTCTTAAAATTCAAATTTATATTTATATTGATATATCAAAAACTTGTCACATAGATATGTAGCACATGTTATGTACTCTCAAAGGTTCCAATTCTTTCTTATTCGATGTACCAAGTCTGCAAATACTGTGCTTTCATTCTTGAAGATGTTTTAGGGGAGTAAAACGTTCAGATTCCATCTAGAAAATAAAAATCTGTAATAACAAAGAGCACATAATAGATTGACTATGAAATAAACCCACATTGGGTACTTCTCTCAAACACATGGAGAGCCAAAAGGAACCACATTGTGCAAGTAATTTACCAAAAATTGAATATCAAAATTGAATTTATTAGAAGATCAAATACCAAAATTGAATTTATTAAAAGATTGAATGCCTTAATTGGCTACTATTGTCCTTGCCCTTGCCCACTATGATGCAGCAGTTTAAGTTTTTTAGGCATAAAAGAGGCAAATAGAACTCCTTTTGAGGGCATAAAAGTTTAGTGTGTGTGTGTGTGTAAAGTGAGCTAACCTTAAATTATAAACCTTCATACTGGTTAGTACTCAAATTACCTATTCATAAGCATTTATGTAATGAGATGTCAAGGTCCTCTTGGCATTATGTAGCTTTTACCTTTTCATCTTGTAAATCCTTCTAAAGATCCATCAATGCCCAAGCTTCTATATACTTGGATAATGATCCTACTTTTTTGAATCAATCTCAACATCCTAGGAAGAGAACTTCTCTGAATAGAAAATTTCTTATCGAATATCTAACATAAACCATAGGTTCAGCCAATCAACCTATAGAAAAGCGCAAAAAAAATCAAAGTACAATTGTGAAGACCAAAATTAAAAGCCAATTAATGAAAGTCATTATAGCTTATTCAAATTAATGTGAGTCCATTTGAAATTCAAAAACCTTTGTATGAAAGATCAGAACAGAGACCACAAAATTAAAAAATTTAGAAGGTATAAAGTAATTGGAAAAATAGGAGGAACAATCCATGAGAAAAACCTATTTATTTGATAATGACAAAGGATTACTCCCTTAAACAGAGGAGAGGGAAGAGAAGGATCTCAGGGTTAGAAATTACAAGGGAAAATAAAATAATAATTCTAGGAATAAGAAATGAAAGAATGAATGAGGAAAACCTGCTATTTGAGAGAAAATGGACAAACACAAACTGACATCCTTCGACTTTAGATCCAAAAAATTGTTTGATGATGAAAGAAGCACGAGTGAGAGTTTGAAAGAATGCATCACATTGATAGGAAAAGAACTACTTGAATATTGAGGAGTAAATTCCAAGAAAAAAAAGAGGCGATAGTGTAATCTCACCATTTAGAAGAGTGGCTACATCCACGAACAAAATCTTCGTCCCCTATTCGTGGTCAATGGGTTTCGAAAATAGTTGATATACATTTCGACACTTCAATGCCTGAGTAGCTTGAATTCAAACAGGAGCGTTTGAGAATAGAAACACTTCCTCACTCTCCATGTGTACTGGAACTCAAGAATAGAAACATTGAAAAAAGGGCTCTAAACGTCACTACATAGAGAAAACATCCATGGGGAAGCATGATAGACAAGCCCATAAATGGAGAAAGCATAATTAGTTAATGCTCTCATCCCAAGTGGTGATTTACAATTTGAATTTGAAATTTGAAATTGAAAAAAAATAGAATGCATGATCAAACATTGAACATTGAAAGTAAAT